TGCACTAACTTATGCTGTGGGTAACTCGAGGTTTAATGCTGACTTAGGACGTAAGAAGCAATAATTTTTAATAGACTATAAGTTTAATTAAGACTGTAAACTACTTGAGATAAAACAATAGCCTCTACTCAGCTAGGACAAGATAGTAAAGGATAAAGAACTGCAATAACACTATAAAGAACTTCTACTATTGTAATAAACGGGTTGCTTTCAGACTGAAAATTAACCAACACGCTACGTAACACACACACAGAGCACTAGTTTTATCCAAAAGAAAGCCTGTTAAAAAATTAGTTTCAAGAAATAATACCTGCCTTACTTACCTTGCATTCTGTCAAATGCTGCCCTGTAAACATTTGACTTGAAATACGCTTGGTTTCAAACGCTGTCCGTCAGTAACCTCAGTGCTCTCCTCAACTGATAGACTAGTCTGTTCTTTCCTTAGCTTCTGCTGCTGCCTCCCCAGTGTTAACAGAAACAGCTTTGCAAAAACCCATCTTTGCCATCCCTAGAGGATCACCAACTTGCGCAGAAATACTGTTCTCCTGAGCTTTCTGTACAGTTTTGAACTCCCTCAACCCTACAGTAATTTAGTACTTCTTGTTAACTTTTAACTTCCCAACTACTTTGATATCCATCTTGTAATACAATGTCTAAACCAAAGCACAACACTCCTGGTGTCAAGATGCTATTTTACTATATTTTTCAATGTTTAATGAGAAGAAACCCATCAGGCTTTTCACCTTTAAATCACACCTCCTTCTTCTTTTCTTATGACAAGCCATCAAATTTTACACCGCAATTTACAAATTCTATTTGCCCAGATAGAGGTGATCAGACCCAGACTCATTGCACATTCACACAGGTGTCTATTCAGATCACCTCCTATCACCTATGAAACAAAAGCTATTTTTCCATTACTTATTCCATCATCTACAACATACTGCCAAAATTACCAATTTCACGCAGAGTTAAAAAGCTTATGCTTCAACTCAGAAGTTCAATTGCCGGGCCCCTGGAGTAAAAGAATCACATTTACTAAGTGCGACCTATGTTTTGGAAAAACATGTTCATTACCACATATCTGAGTCTTCCAAAATCCTTCCTTGTTTATCTCCCTATTCAGTATTCACAAATGTTTTCAGTGCCTGAAGGCCAAATTCACAGATCAAATAGAATGGTCACCTAATTTATAATATTTGATACACCTGAGCTGCACAGTGTGCATTTTCTTCTGTTTTCTTTGTCTTATGGTATTTTTTGATAATTTTCAAAATATTATCCTAATACTTTTTAATCAGCTAGTGACAAAATATTAGTATTACAAAAATAAAAGTACTTTAGCTTCCCAGAAGCAGCCACTGTATTTGCTGTCAGTTCTTTCCTGATATTCCTAATGTGTCTGGCTCTATCCCACGGTGCTCTTGCATTTTGTTATTTGTGAATATATTTGGGGAAGGGAGGAGGGGGGGGGTGGTGGCAGTGGTCTGTCTTCACATTTTTCCATTCTACTTTTAATTTTTAATATTGGCATTTCTTGCACTGTTCAATAACATGAAAAAGATTATCTATTTTATGTGTTTCTCCCTTTCTTCATTGCTTCTGTTTCACTAGACACAAAATACTGCTTTTCTTCCCAGCTATTTGGAGTTGATTTTTGGACAATTATCTGTGTTTTTTCTGATCACTAAGTAGATAAAAATATTTTCTCACATGCAGAAAATTTTAGCTGAGAAAAAACCAGAAAGTTGGAATTACTATTATTATGCAAGTTAAATTAATACTGAGTATTCAACTTCTTGTTTTACTTTCTTCTTCTTGCACTTTGAATTTTTACTTTTCAGCTCACCTATACCCTACTGTTGTGCAGCTCTCCTATCTGCTGAGTAGGTGCCTTAACTCATACAGATAATCAATGCCCAACTAGGGCAGACTGATTTTCAGCGTTTAACTAACAGCATTAAATGCTGCCAGATGTGATAAAACCTACTACCCTCTAAAGCCACTGGCCTGCTCACTGGAAGCAGATGTTACACCAGTCATTTTATGGTGGATAAAATGACTTAGGGTCAGTCACTTTAATCACAGAACAAAATTACTGCTGTCCTTCACTGTAACTGGTTGAAGGATACATATTATGTTTTAGGATATGCAATGATGTGTGTTTAGGTTCAACTTCAGGTCTTTAATACCACTGTGGGGTGCTGGGAAGTTTATTATTACAGTGCTGTATATGTACTATAAAACTTGAGGCTATTTAATCAATATTTCCCTCTAAAAGAGAAAGCTCATGAAAAAAGCTTGAAATACTCTTTTACCTCTTGTCATGGAAAATACTAAACCTCTGAGATAACCAAACTACTTTGTTTTCGTAATGTAACATGGCTCCCTCTGGGAACTGCAGGAAGTTGGGTCTATCTTTTTAAAGAAAAGACAGTGATCCTTGGCCCTGTCAGTGCTGCATCAATGCAAGAATCATATCACCCAAAGACAACTTGTGTCTTGGCTGGAGAATCAGAAGAAATGACCAAACACCACTGCAAAGTCTCAGGTGACAGGAATTCTCCAAACTGCTCCGAACTGGAAGTAAGGCTTGGCTGAAATTTCTTTTTAACTTTGCTGGTCCTTCTGTACAAGGAACGCATGAAGGACCATGGGCCACAGTGAGCAACCTAGTGCACAAAAGAAGAGTGAATACAGGAATGGAACTACGTTACTGGTTTGCTACAGGGAAGACCTGCAATAGTAACATAGAAGGGAATGTCATCATCTTCCCTTTCTTTAGGGAAATGGCCTGCGGTATTAATTACACATCTGCAAATCCATGCCACAAAGAGCTTGTTTGCTATCAAACAAATCAAATGCCCATCCATTTATTCTGTATGATTGGAAACAAGTTCACAATTTTTACTTCCAATTTTCTGTAGAACATACAGGAAAGAGGTACTCTAAGACTATCTGCAGTTCTAGTGAATGGAGAAGCATGGAGAATAAGAATTTGCTATTGCGTCTTAAAGGAAGCAAGGACTTTGGAGAAAACTCTGTATCCAAAGCAGGAACATTCTCAAGTGCTTTCCAGAGTTGAGCCAGCTACTTTTGCTCCTAATTCACACAGAATAATCAGCAGAACTTGACTCCTAAATCCTCTGGTCACCTCTGAAAATAAAACTTGAACACTAAAAAATTATACTGCAAAGCCAGAGTCAGAACAGAGAGAGTACTGTTTCATTTTCTAAACAGATTGTAGCCTGTGATTGGAAATGTGGTACCTAAGAGCAGAATAATCTTAGCAGGAGATGTCTCTGTTCTGTAGCTTTTTGTTGAGCTTATTCTCATGAATATTTTCCTCCTCAACCCCAAATTTTCACTGAAGATACTACTGCATCATCAGCATGATTCTTAACCATCCCTTCTTGCAGACTAATCAAGATTAGTTGATGCTTATAAATTACTTTGAAGATATTGAGTACAATGTAAGTGGTAAGCATTATTAAGCAACACATTTTAAGCAATTCAGCCTAAATAAATGGAAATATGACAACAGCACATCACGAGGAAAAGCATTAACCCTGCCCTGAAAAGGCAAAAGAGAACCCAGATGAAATTCTATTTAAATACACTGACCAAAATATAGCAATTCTGCATGAATACCACAGAGAGTGATCTTGTGGTAGCAGTTCTCTGGTAGTAATTACTTAAATAACATTAAGGATACAGACATATATTAAAAAGAACGTTTGAGTCTATGCTATTACTATATCAAGAAAACTATACAGCATCATGTTCTGTAAGTCATTCTGAGAAAAAAAATGCCCATCACAGAAGTGAAAAAATTGCTTTTTGTAAAGATGCAAATAGCTTTACACAAATATCCACTGGTCATGCCAGAATGAATTTGATACTATTTTCACATTCAAAGCATAAAAACATATTATTGTGCCAAACATACTTGTGATAATGTGAAAATAAATTATGTTATTCTTAAAAAGTCTTTCAGTTTTTATTTTCCATCTGTGTGTTATGAAATACAAATTTCCTGCAAGAAAATTGCATAGAAACAGTAATAATCTTTTAAAAAATATTAAAGGTGTAACAGAAGTCAAATAAAAAACAAACTAGAAACTTACAACTGTCTGGCTCTTAATATATGAATGTAGCTTAAGATCAATGGGCCTCTGGAAACACAACAGTATGCCCACCGTGAGTTAATGGTATCAGAACAAAGTCTACAATAGTCAGCATGAATCAGTTCAGTCCTAGAGCTGTTAACATTGCAACTCCACTATTTTTTTTCTGCACACCACACAATCCTGTAGCTACTGCAAAAGAAATCCTATGACATCTACTACCAGGAATAATAAAAGAAGACAGTAAGTTCAAAAACTGCCACTTCCTTCACAGTCCGTACAATCTACTGAGGACTTGGAAATTTGAAAATAATAGGTGGACACAAAAGAAAAGTGACAGAACTTTAAAGCAACTGCCTGGCAGTTTCAGAGTCCAGACAACTATGTGTTTTTCAAGCTCACTTGCCAGGACACAGAGGCTGCCCTAGAGCATGCTATGTGGAGTGCACAGTAACAGGGCATTCAGGTAATAAAAGTATCTTTGCAATAGCTCAAGAAATCACATATTAAGTCTACTCATAAATAAGGATCTCATTCAGCATATATGCACTGCTAATAATCTTAAAGGCCTAACCTGATAGTCATAAATGCAGTATTAAAATCTGTTCATGTTTTGCAAAAGAGGCGGCCTATTTTATCTACCTCAGTTCTCCCACCAGACCTGTGATCACCATATTTGAGTGTCTATTGATTCCAAAACCTCAAAGTAACACGAAGAGTAAACAAAGCATATATAAACACATAAAGCATTGTTAAAAATTGTTTCATTTTGCTATAAAATCTCAGCATTTTGAAGCAGTTCTAATACACACTGCACGTGTCAGAGAGTGGATTTTTTTCTTGGTTTGCCTGAGTCTAGCTGCGTAGGATAATTTACCTTTCACAGACAAGAGGCCTGGATTCATTCAGGACTGGACCCAGGGATGAGCAGGGCTGCCGAGGCGGCGGCACTATTGGAATAGAGGAATCCAAGGAACTTGTTTTCCAATGCAGCGTCTCCTGTGCCAGCCCAGAGACCTCGCTGTCAGTGGGACAGGATCCAGCTTTGCTGTGACCACCTGCTGATGGAAGCTCTGGCCCAACTGCACCTTGCAGGGCTAATTCTGCGGCTGCTTGCTCAGCCTCCAGTGTTGGTGATGCTGGAGGTGACAATCGGGGCTTGCGTTTCGTGGATGCTCCAGAAAGCAGTTTCAGCAAACCTTTTTTTTCTTTCTGTAAGAAAGCAGTGCCTCATTTTAGAACAAAAGTCTCCCATGAAGAGTTGAACGCTTCCTTCTGATAGATGCCATTGTGATCAGAGAGGACTCAGTAAATTATGAGGAGATATTCGAGATTGTAGAAATTACAAAAGATAATTATGGAAATTATAAGAAAGAAAGATAATTATTAAAATTCTAAAGAGAAAAACAGTAAGTCATTTAGACCATAAACTGGCTAAGTCCTTTCACTTAGTTAAGTTAAGGCTTACCTTAAAAGCCAATGCCACTGGCCCAAAAGGTTGTCTAGAAAAAGGAGTGAGGAGTTAGATTCCCACAATGGGAATCTAAGAAACATTTCATTAACATGGAAGTTTCTAGGTAGGCATAAAGAGTCATTTCACACCAAGCGGGGAGAAAAGTCTGCCCTGGAGGCTGCTGTTTAGATAAGTGTCTTTTATTTATCCTCCCTCAGTAAGGGAAGACCTTCATGATTTAGCAGAAATTTGCCACAAGGGGAATGTATTGTATTTTGCTGCTCTGCTTAGAGGGGAGAATTGTAAACATTCCTTTTGCTTGTCCAGACAGGAATCCCTGAAGACTATTACTTAACCTGAAGAGAATTATTTAAGTAGCTTTTGTGCTTCTTTTTTCTTTTTTTTTTTTTTAAGGGGTGTGGCAGTGATCTTCTTACCAACCCTTCAACTGAGTGAATTTAGTGCTTAAGAGAGGTGCCAGATTGTAAGCCCTGGAGACAAAAATAAGCTATTTAACCACAGAAAGAGAAAAGCATGAGCAATGTGAGATTTTTCTTATAGCTTGGGATGCAGTGGAATTGGTGAACTGTGAATGAAAAATCCTCTGACCTTCTTCGAAATCTCCAATAACTTAAAGCAATTTCAGCAAAGAACTGCTGTCTAGCAAATGTCAAAGAAAAAGAGAAACTCAAATAAATTAACATAGTCCAAACACATTAGCATCTTTAACCTTAAACAATAAATAAATTTTCTAAAAGCTCTGCCTAAAGGCACCTCAGTCTGATTTCAGTGGCTATGGCTAAAGTAATTTTAAAACAAAGTTCTAGGTACCTCCATTCAACAATAATCAACAAAAATAATTAAAAACTGGGTGAGATTAGTGTACAGCCTATGATTAAAACCTTCATAAACTTCATTAAGGAGTACATGTGGGTGAAAAGCAGTAAGGTAAAGTCTAAAACATTTGAGATGTAAAGAAAATTTTCAAAAAGAAAAAAAAAAATCTAATGACACCACAACTGTAAAACCAAACCAGTTAGAAAGTTGGAGCAATGTTTCTGCCTACCATATAGCATAATCACATGGCTTGTTGGACAGTGAGAATGAGTTTAGACACAGAGGAAAATACTTCAAATTGAAAGAAGGAAAGCAGAATCACTACAGACTCTACTGATCTACATTTTAAAAAGATAGAGTTACATGCTTTTTCTTCTTTGTCCAATAAACATTCCTCGTCATTTATTTTTCATAATCTCTCAATGTGTCTGCTTAATAAGGAAGGCAACCTAAAGAATACTGATTTTCACTAAATATTAGGTCTAGTTTATTAGACTGAACTTTTTATGTTCCTGCAAGTTCATGTTTGGTTGTTTTGTTGGCGTTTTTTTTGTTTTTGTTTTCTTTCCTCATTACTGGCTTATTAGTTACTAATAAGTACTGATACTTACTGGTAACATTTGCTAACTGTACAATGTTCTAAAGTATTCAGGAAACTCACTGCAGGTAAAGGAAAACAAAATGCTTAAAATGCCAACAGTCAATCTAATAGTTCTTCTGAACTTTATCCATTCACCTTTTGTTTTTTCTGCTTAAGGCATGAACCTGCTACCCTATTTTAACCCTTCCCCAAGCTCTGCTCTGGATTTTATCCATCCAAAATTATTCTTGTATGGTCAAGAATAAATTTGCCCATAGCCGTAGTCACAACATAGCTACCTGAGTTTCAGGCTTAGTCTTAAAAACCTTACAATTCAGCAAATCTAAGAAAAAAATATGGATCTCTTAAAAGTTAGCACAATGAAAATGGGAGAATTCAAGGCAGTGATTTTATTTTCTACCCACCTTGCCATCCTTGTCTACTTTACTGACAGCAGCATTTCCACCAGCTGCTAAAGCACTCTCTGGAGATGCAGGAGCTCCAGGGTGAGTGTTTACAGTTCTTCCACTAATATCTCCCTCCAAAGATGAAGCAGCAATGTTGGAAGAATTCAAAGAAGCTGCTGCACATGCCAGTGGGATGGTTGAACGGTTCACATTCACAGCCGTGACATAAGCAGCAGTATTTGGGAGCTGGGGCTGGAGCTGCTGGGAGGCAACAGAGTGGTGGGGAATGATCACAGCTGCAGGAATAAGGCATGTTGGACTCTGTGCTTGTATGGGTGTGACTGCTGCCGTAGGTCTTTCTTGACTGTGTGCAGCAACTAGAACAAAAGAATAAAATGTGAGAGGAGTTCCTCTTTTCACAAGACACACAAAGTGAGGTACAGTCACTGTGTTATAACTAATCAGTCATAAGAAGCTTCCTTCCTACCGTTGTGACTTCCATTTATATTACTATAATGACATCTTACACAGCATCAAATTTATCTCACCAGAATAAAGAAGTAGCATATGCCACCCTGCCAGCACCAGTACGCAACAGAAGAATAACAGCACTGCAACTACTGTGGAGAAATCCAAGCTGCTAAGTAAAATGCTTCGCATGCAGAGATGCAAAGTGAAGATTACATTTTAGTTCAGAAGAGCTAGCGAAATCCTGCCTGGAACTTGTTTGTTCCTTTTAATATGCTGTGTAGTTGTCAGGGCACATAAACCAAAGTAGGAAGAAACACTCCTTATAGAAGCTGCTAAAAATATAATTGGATTGTTTTCCTTAAACTATTCACAAAATCTACAACAGATTTAGTGGGTCTTTCAAACAATAAGTACAGTGGCAATTACTGCTATGAGTGGTTTCTCTGAAAACGTAAGCTATTGTCTCTTGGGATGTTTAAAAATAGAAATGGATTTACTCATACCCCTGCGAAATAAAAGGAACGTCTATGCTGGAAGTTGGAGAATAGCACAGGGCTGAAATACTAACCAGGGCTGCAGCCTAGCTGCAAAGCGCAGAGCTCTGCGTGAACTAATTTATCCCTTCCAAGAAGCAAGGTTCCTATTACAGTTATATGGTCAACCATACATGCTTTTGGGTCATTTCAACAGCTTGGGTCTCTCTGCGCCACTGGGTGGTATGAAGTGCAGACATCTTACTCGAACAATACAAGGAAAAACACAGCATCCCAATGCTGCACAACCTCTTTCCTTCAAATACACTGGAACCTAGCATCTAAGGAGGGGTTATCCCTCTAGCTTGGTGCATATGCATCTCAAATGTATCAATTCATTCTGATTTTTCAGATACTAATTAGAGTTTCAGGCTTGTTAAAAGTGATATCCTGGAATCAAGCTTCCAGCAGTTGCTGTCTTTATTTTGTTCTCTACAAATTCTCCTGCTAATTTGGTTAGATTGCATCAACAGTATATTAGACTAAGTTCACAAATCTGATATAACAATCCTACAGTATTATATCCAATTACAATCTCTTAAGATAAGAAATACAAATTCTTTCTTAAAAAGAAAGCCACACTAAATGCTACATCTATTTTTTGATATGTAACCTCTCCCCCGTAGCAGACCCTTTCTAATTCTGAATACCACGAACATTTCAAAAAGGAAGATAAGGAGAGTGCAGCAAGATTTTTTGTGAAAAACAATTATTAACACTGCCTTTTGTTCACGAGACAAAGTCAGTTTTCTTACAAGTAGCTGCTATTCTTCAAGGTATGTCTGTACTCACATGCAATCAATGGAGTACAAGCATGGAATAGCTTTCTGGTTTTGTTTTCTTATCCCTGATGGAATTCATAGGAAAAATGTTTCAAGTCACCCTATTCTCATACAGTTTGTCCTTTAATGAAATAGGCAGAATATACATTTTCTTCCCAGTTCCTTTCAATCAAAGAATGCATACCCCCCTCAGCGAGGGTGACATCAAGCAATTTCTCACTATGATTATTTGAAGAAGCATCCTCGAAGTCCTGAACTAAACTGAAAATGAAGAACAGCCTTGCAAAATGCAGCACTGATCTCTGAAGCCTCATCAAGAAAGTAACACTCAACAAAGGTGCTAGGGAAAGCTCAAGATGATCACGTTTCATGCTGACTACAAAGTTCTCTGTAACATTTGAACATAAAGCAGCCATTATTGCTTCAGTTCTCAGGCCCTTATAAGGGACAGATCTGTATTTGTGACTGAACAGTACACCTTTACACCGCAATCCAATGTTAGGTTCTCTGTGAACAGAGCACAGCCCCTTTGATTTTTCCATTTTGGACCTGAAAAGTTGGTGGGAAGTATGTTGTCATGTCTTCCAGCTGTATGGAACTGTAAGAGCTTATTCATCTTAACAGCGATGCAGAGATGTGGGGACGGAAAGGCCTCTGGAGCCCACAGGAGCCTTCTCCTTTGTGCTGTCACTTGCAAGCTTCTAGGCAGCTCAAAAGAAGGATTTAGAGTAGAAACCTCCTATGGCTGAGAGGCAGGAAAGTACAGATGCTTTGCTTAGTTTCTCTGACCAGCTGCCAATAGCACCTGGTTATTTTTATTTAAAGGTAAAGAATAAAGTTCGCAGCCTAAGATCAGGCTGGAGGAAGATGCAGCCAATTAAGGAAATAAAATATCTAAAGACATATGTACATATCCTACTTCCAAAAGCAAACCTGGTGCTGACATCATGCATAAGGTGTTTTAGGAGATGCATGACTCTGAAGAGGGAGTGGGCTAATTCACGGATCCTGAGACCATAAGAAACAGTCATCCTTAAGGAGATAACACCATTTGCATATTTTGCATTCTCTTCTGCTCTGCCAATAAGAATCTCGTAATCAAAAAAAACCCAACTTTGGTCATGACTCTCTCAGCCAAGAGATCTTAGGACCCAAATTCATGGCTGAAAGAGGGAAGGAGCACCAGGCGTGCTGGTTTGGTAAGGGATAATTTTCTTCACAGTAGCTAGTAAGGGGCTATGTTTTGGATCTGTGCTGAAAATGATGTTGATAATATAGAGATGTTTCTGTTACTGCTGAGCAGTGCTTACACAGAGCCAAGGCCTTTTCTGCTCCTCACCCCACCCCACCAGCGAGTAGGCTGGGGGTGCACAAGGAGTCAGGAGGGGACACAGCCGGGACAGCTGACCCCAACTGACCAAAGGAATATTCCACACCATATGGCATCATGCTCAGCATATAAAGCTGCAGAAAGAAGAAGGAAGGGGGACACACATTCGGACTGATGGCATTTATCTTCCCAAGTAACTGTTACGCATGATGGAGCCCTGCTTTCCTGGGAACAGCTGAACGATGGGAAGTGGTGAATGAATTCCTTGGTTTGCTTTGCTTGCATGCATGGCTTTTGCTTTACCTATTAAACTGTCTTTATCTCAACCCACGAGTTTTCTCACTTTTACTCTTCCGACTCTCTCCCCCCTCCCACCATGGGGGAAATAAGTGAGCGGCTGTGTGGGGCTTAGTTGCCAGCTGGGGTTAAACCACGACACTGGGATAGTTTGAAATGGAGTAATTTTTTTTTCTTTTTTTTTTCTTCTGAGGCCCTAGGAGCAACTGGAACAGATTAGGCTCCAGTTGTGTGGTATTTTCCTAGCCTGGCAAATCCACAGAGGAGTGCACGGATTTGGTAAACAAAAACTCTTGAAAACACCACTATCAATGTTTTTGGATCTGGGTTTAAAGAACACGAAAGCATGTTTCACTATGATGTGGCCTGCCCCAGACAGTAAAGGCAGAGTTATACCTGTCAAAAATACGTTATTTTATGACATAGACAGTATGTGTCTTGAAGCCAGTATAGCCTTAGTGTTTCAGAGTCAAAGCTGAAAGAAGTTGCAGTCAAATTTAGAGAACAAACTGGAATGCCTAAGGACCAACCCTAAGCCAGAGACCTGAAAAAGAAGGAATGAATGCTAAAGGTCTTCAAAGATGTTAGGAGAGAACTTAAACGTGAATGCTAAATTAGAGCAATCTGTAGCTGTTACGCAGTTAACATGAAAAAATAAGCTATGACTCAGATGCTCTTATCACTTTTATTACTATACGAATTGCATATGAGTGGGAAAGCTCAAAGAATGCCCCTATCCCAGATACTGCTTGAATAAAACAAATTCCACCTAAAGTACTTGCATATAAATTCCCAATAGTAGGAGTATGTACGTACACACAGTTGCTTAGAGGAGAATAATAAAAGATTCAACAATTAAGAGATATATATTGTCACTTCAGAAAGGATTCAACTCTAAAAAATGACATAAAAAAAATGCCTTGAAAAACCCCCACACACATTTACATATATCCTGACTCCAGCCACTCACCCAGACAGACCCTACAGTTTGTCTACCACACATAAAAAGCCTTTTTTTTTTTTTTTTTTTTTTAATTACCTGTTCTAACTGCATTGCGAGCCTGGTTGACTGTCATTTGTCCTGTCACGTGCATAAGAACCTTGGTTTGTGGACTAGTTTGGATATGCGCTGCAGAAACCACAGCTGTGGGTACTGTGCTGGAGTTCACTGCCACACCATTCCCCTGGAGCTTCTGGGATGTTCCACTAGCCGTGGAAGGGCTGACCATAGTTACCACTCGTCCCGTTTGGCCAGCAGTAGACATGGGAACTTTTGTTTGTGACGCACTTGTCACTGTCCTGCCAAAATTAAAAGTAAAACACTAAAACACAACTGAAAAATGAGCTAGTTACTAAACCCCACAGCTCCTCTATTATCCAATTTTAACATTAAATACAGAACAGAATAATTTTGGACTTGAAACTAGACAAACTATTTAGACACTTGTATAAAAATATACCTTGTAACTGGAGCCACATAATTTCCAGGAAAAACACCAATCTTGCTGGTATGCATGGAAGTTCCCTTGAACCAGCCATCTTGACAGCGTTCAAACACTAAGAACATTTCTCCCTTCCGCAGTTCCAGTTCATCTTCTTTTCGAGGACTGTAAGGGTATATAGCAATATACCTGAAAGACAGGAAATGAAATTGATAAACCTAAAACAACTGAAAACATCGCTTGTGTTTTCTGGTAGATACAGTTCAGTCAGAGATGAGAAGGCATGGCAGTAAGGGTTATGCGTTAGTCGATCCATCATACTGTTACAATATTAAAACAGAAGTTATGGTGGTATTAAGGGAAACAATGACCATTATGAATATCCTCCTAGCTGCACCTGAATGTAATGTACAATACTTCTAATAAGATTGTCCATTTTCTTAATTAAATTACTGAACTTAATCAAATAGGTGTTTATCAGCTACAGATCCCAGCATATCCCACTTCTCTCTTCCTACACCTGCTTCTAGTATCTCTTGCACACTGTAACATGCCAACTACTTTTTTTTTTTTTTTTTGAGAGGTGGGGAGCACGGAGAAGTTCTGTTAGTTGGGAGTGAAAGATCAGTATCAGAACTACTTTTCAAATTGCAGAATTGCAATCGCCCTGTGCAACTGCAGTGTCAAAAAAAAAAAAAAAAAAGACATGTTACTAGAACTTGGGTAAGGTAGCCAGCAGTTATTCACCTTTTTTTCCTTCTAAGCAACATTAATGCATAATCCAGTGCATCTGAAATCATAGTGAGAGTTCAGAAACATTTTGCATTTTTCTTTTTAAAAGACATTCTTAGGGAAAAAAGAAAAAAAGTAAAAATAAACCTGAAGCTCCTGCAGGGGCATGCTAGAATATTCCCAGGGAAGTCTTCAAATAAGATTGTGCAAACTCTTATTATCACATTAAAAAGCGATACTGTTTTAATCACCACAGCGTTCTATTTTCTGCCATAGTTTGAACATAAGAAAACTGTTTAAATCGCTTATATAAAACTGTTTATATAATTATGGATCCAGACCTATGGGAAATAGCATTCTAATAAATCACATTTTCTCAAAAAAATTATACTTTTCACAAGAGGTATCCAATTAGGTTAGATGGGTAGGTTATCCCATTTTTTGAAAAAAAGATCCACAATTACTTGCAATGCTAGTCTTTTCTACTCCTCTTGTTACCCCAAGGGTAAAAAAGCGGTTTTACAAAACACTCTCTCCTCAAAACGGTCTTTTGTCTCAGTAACGACAGCATTAACTGTGATGCTTCTCCTTTTTGTATTATATTTTTGTTCCTTGCTGTCCACCCAGGAAATTTTGCATTATCTGCAAAAATGCTTTAAAGCAATAAGGTAGGTATAAGGCAATATAGGTACCTGGTAAAGCAAGTCCAAACTGTGCTTTAAAGGCAACATATGACACACAAGCAATAGAAGGCTTCACGGGTACGTGATTTAGGACTGATCTACAAAGCCACATACTGAAGCTCTATGGGAAAGCAACTGATGTGCTTTAATTGGTGTTCATTAACTTTCCTTTTAGTTAAATCATTCCAAATTTCATTAGTATCCTCATACAGAGCAACCCTTTGAAGATGGAGGATGGGAATAAATGAGATGGGAACTTGATTAACTGCACTAAGCACAATAATCCATAAGCAGCAGTGTTAAAATGCTTGACACCAAAGAAACAGCCCAAATCCAGATGCACCTGCTATACAAGAAGGGTGCTCTTTTGGAGTGGGAGGAGACCTGGTGGGAAGATAAAAATAAAGACACAGAACAAAAGCAGTCCTTGCATTATTCAAACGTGTCCTATTAGATAGTTCAGCCAGTACTGAATTTTATTTTTTCTTTTATCGTTCTTATTCTTCAAGCTGCACACAAAGAAGTTTCCAAGAAGAAAGATGTTGTCAGCAGCACATGTTAATATACAAAATATTTTCACCCAGAAGGATGACGCACATTTACTTGTATTACAAGTGTGAAGACATAATGCTAACCAGCAGCTTTCTGCCTTCATTCCAAATTGCCACCCACTAATTAAGTGAACTGTAGAATCTTCAGTCAAATTTCAATTGCAACTTACACAAGCAGTCTGACAATAACATGCTAATGTAACAGTCTAAATGAAATACAGCACTTTCTGTGTTTTGGCATAAGTTATTCCATATGAGAATAGCCTTTTCATTCCACACATAACAGAAAACATTGAATAAATTCACTTGAGAGTTTACCACATGCAAGTCATGCAGTCTTCATTGCTAACTCAAAGATTCATTCATCTGCCTGCTAAATACTTTATAGAAGTGAGTCCTTTCTATACACAGGAACAGCTGATTATATTTACCTAAGACATAAATAACCCTCAGTATGAAGGCTGTTTGGGGATATCACCCTTACGTACGTTTTGTTGCTTTTGTTCCGAGTTGTATGCTTGGCTTTCTGGGAATTCTAGCAGAACATAGCCAGCTGGCATGTTATAAGAACATGTGAAGTTATTGATTTCATTCCATTTTTCTGACTGGCGAAAAGTTTCAATTTTACTTACACACTTGGACGACTTTGTGGTCGTAAATGTGCCATTTGGTCAATTGATCCTGACGTAGGCCTTTGTATTACACCTGCAGACTGAGGTCCAGAAGAGGCCGATGCAATGATTGCAGCAGACAAGAGAGGTGGTGGCGGAAGTGGGGGATTCATATTCTGATTTTATGAGAACAAAAAAAAATAGCAACAGATGATCAATACAGTTTGATGAGTTGAATCAGCTCCCAAAAAAAAAGTTTGATATTCTAACGAAATGGGAAAAAAACCAGCCAAGTGCAGTACTCCTTTACCTAGTGGTACTATATAACTGGAGAGTTAGGGCTTATCTGTATTTCTCTTTTTCTAGTTTAAAATCTTGAAGTCTTCGTAGCTAATGAAGCAAATGACAAGCAATTTCTCAGCACAGGAAAAACGGAAACCATTGTTTTTAATTATAACATATTTAGGATAGGACTCAACAAATTCAGAAGCCTTCCAGGAGGCAGATTTTGCATCCTACTGTGGACTGTACTTCAAAACATGACTGTTTTTGTAATCTGAAGCTGAAACATAATATACATTCAGCAGCAGTGTACCCAAAGCCACCCCTTCTGGGGGAAATTTTCTTTTGATGTATGGGTTACAAAAGCGAGCACAATATGAGACCATAGTCGCTGAGCTATTGTTACCACTTTCTCCTGTTCTTCTAGTTTAAAGAGTTAGCTTTTGAAATTCAGTATTATCAAGACTGGTAATCTTTAACAAACACCCCAGTAAAAAGGCACAGTTCCTTCACAGGCAGATCGTAATGGGGGTCCTGCCTACAGGCTTCTATGCCTTTTGAGAATCAATGGAGCAATTGTTACCTTCTGCTCTGTAAAGCCTCAGACAATTCTTTAGGACCTTGTGTACTGACACTCCTGGGAAAAGTCTGTCACAAAAGAACTTTTCCTTTCCCCCTTCCAAAAAATAATTATTTGTGTTACAACACATACAAAACGAGTAATAAAAAACCTCCAACATTTGAAAATGTAAAACTGAATTAATTTCAAGCACGGTCTTCGACTTAACGCAATCCTTCAGTACTGAAAGAAAATTCTAAACCATGCCACTTCAGGTTTAAAAACCACGTAACAACAATATAAATTCACAAAATATCCTGAAGTACTGTCTTTTCCAGTACATCAGTATATAAATGCACAGCACTACATTATCAGTTTGGAAAATATATAATTGAAAGTCATTTTAATTTCCCCTGAAGCAGCCTACTCCTAAAGTTGGGAGTTTTTTTGGTTTGGGTTTTTTTTTGGTGGGATGAGGTTGGTTGTTTTGCTAAACAAAAACCTATATGGAATATACGTTTTAGTTCTACACTGTGTGTTTATTACCTCACTGCATTTGGTGAAAGTGTTAACAAAAAGACAGCTTTCTGAACTAGTCTTACACTGTCAAGACACAGTAAAGAACTGCATGATTAAAAGCTTTCAAATCTAGAGAAAACTGATTAACCTTTAGAGTTTTGCAATCAAAATTCTTATGCTTAGTTGTGATATAAATTGCATAATATATTGTGAAATATTCCTATTTTATTTAAAGCTTTTTTTCTGATCACACATTAACAATTTCTTAAGACCAAATAGGCCTCCTGTATCCAACACAAAGCAGACATGACCTACTGGAGAAACATCATTGTGAGCTTTGATACTAAGAGTTGAGTTATTTACAAGAACAACAATTGCATTTGCTTCACATTCTAGATCCCTGTCCATCCTACAATCTTTTTAAAATATCTTGGTAAATTCATACTGAAATACCAACATTTCTCTTTCAGTTGCTTTACAGCAGAAGTGATTTCCCCCTCGCCGTCAGCTTTAACAAATGTCTTCGCTGAATCCAATCTGAACATGAGCATCTAACTTTTAGGCAACATGTCTGTAGAATATAAATTCAAATCTTTTTTTAGGCATCTAGATTCCTTTATACTTGGTAGAACCCGTAAATCTACAATAGCAGATGGTTAGCTGGAAATCTTTAAAATTAAACCTATTTATGCACAATATCAAGGTTGTCACAATTCCACACTTCCTGCATCTCTACAGATATAAATGCTGAGCGTTGTATTTTATTCATTTGTAAACACAATATACATTGAATTTTTAGCTGCAATAAAGGCACCTTCCAAGCTCTATTTTATTCTGCTTTATTCAGATTCTGCTCCCCTCCCCATGTCTAATAGTGTGGTAATGAAACCTGCAGTGAGCCACAGCCCAATTAAACTCCTAAAGACTTGGCAAGGACTTCAAAATCTAAATAAACTACCTGATGGGCTTTAGAGGATGAACACTCCTCAGCTTGCACTGCTACAACTTGATAAAATAGATCCAAATGCTCTAGCCAAGTTTCCAAGAAGCTTTCTGGCATGTAACCATTTTTCTAGCTATTAAGAAACATACCTACCTCCAGAGCACAAGCTAGTTTTGATGGTTCCCATATTCAACATTCTGTGAAAGAATATATGCAAACCCCACATGATTTAATAAAATACACTTTTCAAAATAACTGAAAGTATTTTTATTTTAGGTACTTGAAAGGGAAAAACTGAAAGTTTCTGCGACTATTTTTCAGACAAGTGTACTTTCAACCATATAAAACAGCAAATAAGTGATAAATTACTTTTTTTTTAATCAGATGAAACATTACATAATTTGATAATGTATGTAAAAACTTCAAGTAGCACCTATACTCCTTCTCTCAGAGAAGTCTGCTGCCTCCCCGGGGCCCGTGTCAAGGACATCACTAGGAAACTCCCCAGCCTGGTACAGCCCTCTGACTATTACCCACTGCTGCTCCTCCATGCTGGGGATGAAGCAGAGACACGTACCACGAAAACGATCAAAAGGGACTTCAGGCTCTTAGGACAGTCACTGAAGGATTTGGGGGTGCAGGTAATATTCTCCTCCCTCCTTCCAGCTAAGGGCAGCAATGTTGGGTGGAACAGGCGGACACAGTCCATAAATACACGGCTCCGTGGCTGGTGTCAACATCACAACTTGTGGGTTCTTTGACAGTGGGGCGGCCTACATGGCACCAGGCCTAATGAACCCTGATGGGATTCATCTCTCTCAAAGGGGGAAGAGGATCTTTGCCCAGGAACTAGCGGGGCTCATGGACAGTGCTTTAAACTAGGCTTGAAGGGGGAGGGGGATAACATCAGGCTTGCCAGCGACATGTTGTGGGATGATGTGCCCAGGTTGGAGGGATGGGGGGCTGGCAAGGGCCCTCGGCCTATTGCTCAGAGACATGCTGAATGCACTACAGCATGCTCAAAGCCTAGAGGAGACGAGCCAGGGGCTCCAGATGCAACAGGAACCAACGGAGTAACACTGGGAGAATACATCAAAAGAATTCCAGCCACCCCAGCCAATAAGTCAGCCTCATCGGGGG